GCTTTCAGGACCTTTTTGCCTCGGACAGCTAGCTCGCTGGCTCGGTCACTCTTCCACTTTCCTTTCAATCATGAGTCATCCCCATAACATAAACAAACAGACAATGAACCATATGCCTTTCCTTACTCCAGCTTCATCGTCTAAGAAAGAAACATTATTTTGTGGGGTTTCTCTTTTCTTTCTTGGAAAACCAATTCGTTTGTATTTGTATTTTGAAATTCAATAATCTTACCGTCCATTGAAGAATTCTAACGTTGATTTTTCATATTAAAAGAAGAAAAGATAAATAGTTTAATTCGAACATCACTGTGTATTAGTTCAACTATTGGAGTGTTACAGTTGCAGCATTACTTGTAAAAAGGTAACTACAATTAAAAAATATCAAAATGAATGGTTTGGTATCTATATATATTATTTTTTAAAATTTGTGCATGATCTTGACCCAAATTATTTTATGTTACGGTTCTCGTATATTCTACATTATTTTATATTTAAATTTTGTAGGATATAAACTTGTGTGAATAATTAATTATCAAATGAGTAAACATGCATATAACCTTACTTTTATCCCACCAAAATACTCTTTTATATTTGTTTTTATTTTTTCATAATTAAATTTATAAACACATACTTACTTTTATGTTATGTCCCATACCTCGAAGTCATTTAAAAAATAAAAAATAAAAAACCACGATTTTTTTTTTAAAATTACCTAAAAATAAAATATTTTCTTTTATTCGTTTGATGAAATATGTCATAAAGAGAATAATGTAAAATTGAAATTAAATGAATAAAAAATACAGTGATGAGTCAAGCATAATTCAAATATTATTAATTCAGATGGTCGTATCTATATTTATTATATTAAAAAAATAAAACGAATAGATGAGAAAATCAAAATTAATTATGATTTAAACATACTTTCTCCACCAAACAAATAATAATAACAACCCTACCTTAAGCTAAAAGTAAGTTCAAGCTTTCTTACTTTGGTTTTTTTAGCTTGTACTAAAAAAAAGCAATAAATAAATAAATATAGAGAGGGAGGAATGTTTTTAATGTGTTCATATGAAACGATGCTATAAATATAAATATAAATATAAATATAAATATATAGCTCGGTAAATTTGTAATCTAATTATTAATTTTTATTTTTTTAATATTAGTATTAATTAATTTGATTAAGAAATATTAATTAAAAAGTGAGAATTTCCTATGATTGGATGGGTGTCATTAGCTGTCTGGTAATTATAGTGACACATTCACTTTATGTGCGCAGGAGACGGAGTCGGAGACGGGTCCCCTTACCCCACATATTATTTGCATAAATAGCCCATCCCTACCAACCTGTAAAAATAAATAAATAACACCACTTGCTACCAAAAAAATGCATAAAATAACACATAAAAATTAATTAATTATCTTTTTTTAATTGGTATCTAGATTTAAAAAATGCCAAATATTCAAAATTTTAATTAATAAATCTACTATATATATATATATATAAATGGTATGTCGGGTAAAATCTTAATTTTTTCGATCTATAAATTTCATATTGAATAGATAAAAATCTTAGACACAAAATTGAGAAATTATAGATTTATTTGAACGACCAAACTTTTAAAACTTAACTAAACTATGAGTAAATTGTTCGATTCCACCCGCCTTTAATCTTTATTTTTAGTTTTTTTTAGAGTTAAAAGTTTATAAACCTCCCACATCAAAAAAAAAAAAAAAAAAAAAAAAAAAAAAAAAAAAAAAAAAAAAAAAAAAAAAAAAAAAAAAAAAAAAAAAAAAAAAAAAAAAAAAAAAAAAAAAAAAAAAAAAAAAAAAAAAAAAAAAAAAAAAAAAAAAACTTAAGGAGAAACATATAGATTAAAAATATATTATAACCCAATATTTTATTTTCTTTATTATTATTATTATTGTGTGCGCTTTTTAAACCAAAAAAAGGGTTATAAACTTGAACTTGGCAACTGACTTTATAACCGATGATGGGTGCTCGTATGACACGTGTGCACCATGGTTGGGAAATAAATGTACTTTTTATGGAAAAAAAAGGTGGTGCAAATTGCCAAAAAACAAAATAAAGGAAGGTGCAATTTTGTGGCTGTGACTAGGTGGCATCAATTTTTTGTTTTCTTTAAGGTTTTGGTCCTGTGTTTTTAAATAATTGACGTCATATGCCCCATACTCTTTTTTTTTTAATACCAACTTGTTTATAAATTAGAAACTTGCAATTTATTGTCCAGCGTCTTGAATGGAACGTTAAATCATCCAAAACAAATTATGGACCAAATACCTTGCCTAATCTATGAAACATACAAATATATAACTTCTTTGAAGTATATGTTACGGTAAAATTAGACCTAACGAAGAATAAATGGAGTCAAAAATTTTGAATGAAAAGGCCAAATTCAAGTGGTCTAAAGCAAACTAGGGACTTAGGTTGAATTACTCAAGCCAAATCCCAAGATGCTAGGTCGACCTAGCTTCCCCAAAATCGAAGCTGACCCTAGCTTCCTCGTGGCGAGCTATTCGGGATCGATCCAAATGAGTTTGGTCCTATTAAAAAAATGGAAAGAAATAATAATAGTAATAAAGGATTATTTATTTGTTTGCAAGTTCTCTAGGTTTTTTTTCCAATGCCTGTTTTACAATATGTCAGCTCAGCCACAACTTTCTGGCCTGCTCTTCCGCCACTATAAACTTGAAACTTCGTTGAACCCTATGGGCTTGGGCCGTCTTTCATGATTCGGCCTCATATGTCGGGGTAAATCACAATTAAAAAAAAAAAAAAAAAAACTGTTAATTTAAGTGTTTAAGTCGGATGGTCAGCTTCAATCCATTTTTCTTGAAGACCTAACGTTCTCGCAAGCACACTGCTCAGTATCTGACTCTGATACAATTTGTACACTTAGACACGTTATATATCGCCGTCGCCTCATGGAATTACAACGCATCTATTAGGAAGAGGTTTTCACACCCTTATAAATAATATTTTGTTTATTTCTCCAACTAATGTGGCTCATGATTTTTTTATAGTTCATGAGGATGTACTCGACCTTTAAATTAAATTTTATGTTTAGAGCTTTACTTGGTTCATATTTTTATTCTATTTTGTTTAATATTTTATTACTTGGGTTAATATCTTAATATTATTTATTAAAAATATAATTTATAAGCTAGCAATTATAATATTTTATTCAATTATATCAACTTCCAATTTTGCAGAGATAAAAAGTGGAATAATCATGAAATTTGAAGGATGAAAATATCATTTCAGCCTAAAATATAATAAAGAAAATAAAAAAAGAAAAGAAAAGAAGTCCAGTCAACGCGGATGCTGACTCAGGTATTTTAAATGTTTTATTTATAATAATATTAATTGGGTGGCTGCAACAGTTCGACAAAATTATATTGTTTCTTCAACAGCTATCAACTGCCAGCCGACGCCAAGTCAACTATAATTAAATTTCATCCAATATCAATGCTTAGTTTTCGTACAAACCTGTAATTTTATAAGAAAAAATTACTTTTATTGTGAAATTAATTAATTAATATATTTACTTAGATGAATCTCGTAATGATATTGTTTGTTAATATATTTACTTGATCGTGGTATATATTTTTTTCAAAATTTAATAATTTTTGTATTTTAAAATGTGACATTCTCAAAGGAACTATTTAATATTAAATAATAAATTTACTTTATTTATTTTTATAATTGTGTTAATTGGGTGAACAAGAATTTACAAGTTTTAAAAATTTAATTTTGTAAATAAAAAAAATTGAAATTGAAATTTTATATTTTTGAAGTAGTCGACATTTGATGCAAATTTTTTATTTGAATACACTATTAGACAAGACAAACCTACTAAAAAAAAGAGTTAAATTTCTAATTTTTTAATTAAATTAAATAATATTTATATAAAAAAAAAGGTCAAAATGTCATATTTCTAAAAAGTAATAATTTTTTATAAAAATAATCTCATTTAATCCGTAAGAGAGTGAATCTATAATGTTATCAAAGAACTATGACTGTCACTCTCATACATCAAAGACCAATGTGATTCAAACTGGACAAACTTATGGTTCAATAAATGGCGTGGACTTTTGTGACTGAATGCTAAACGAATTAATGCCAAATTGTCATATTCATTGCTGGTGATAAACTAATAATTAAATTAGTTCGGGAGAAAATTAGTGGCGTGCATAAAAGATTAAAGCAATATTTTGAAAAAAATCAGATGGAAGGTAAAACGTTTCAATTTTTCTTTAAATTTATCCTAATTTAAAAGAAAAAAGAGTTATTATGGATTAAATATTTGATTAAACTAGTTTTAGTCTCTCAATTCTTAGATCCATTTGTATTTGGTTTGAATTTAGGAGTGTAATTGATGAATTAAAAAAAAAAAAAAAGGAGGAGTAATTAATAAATTATATATCAATTTTAATAAAATTTTAAAATGGGTAAATTTTAAAAGTTTTTGTGGGTAAATTTGTAATTTAGGTTTAATACTTTATGACTTATTTGAAAATTAATTATTAGAAACTTTAGGTCCAGTAGGAGTGGGAGGAGGGGATATAAAGACCGGGAAAAAGTTATTCGGGAAACAAAGGTTCATTCGGTTGTTCATTTCAGTTTCAAAATTTGTAAATTAACAACCCTAAAATCCAGTCCGAAGAGAGAGTTCCGAAGAAATTAAGGCTGTCCCCATCGTAAAATTGCAGTTTCGTCGAATTACAGAGAGAGAAAGAGGAGTAGGACAGAAACAGCCGCCTAATTTGCACGAACTCCTCACCGTTTCGGCTTCCCGGGTTCGACGATTCGATCTTTGAAACAACCCTAATAATTTCTTCTTCTTTTCGTATCATTCTTTTAGTTCTTGCTTTGTTTCATTGGAGGTACTTATTTTGAGGTTCAGTTGTGTGTAAATTCATCGATGAAAAGCGATAGGAACCGCGACGAATCTTGGATCAACGGCGGGGCTGCTTAAATGCACGTCTCTGGAGTAACCTTGGATCTTAATTGGTTCCTGCAATTGATATTGACAGTGTTTTTGATCATCGTTGGGTTGCTGTACTTGGTAAAGAATACGGCCTCCAAATACTTTGAGGTCGACGCGAATTTCGAGGCTTCGGGTGGTGGAGGAATGGCGGGAAAAGGCGGAGGCGACGGTGGCGATTGCAACTCAATGTCCGGTGGCGGTTCTACGGGTGATGCTGTATGCGTCGTCTGTGGGAATTTGGGCACGAAGAAGTGCTCGCGGTGCAAGGCCATTCGATACTGGTAAGTGGTAGTCTTTTCAGTTGCTAAATTTACATCAATTGCAATGGCCATTCCTGTCGAGTTAATAATTTACCTTTTGTTATCGGTTATTATTTATTTGTTATAGTAGGCAAGTTAGACAAAAGCAACCCTTTATCGGCAATAATTGTTACTTGTCGAGTTAATAATTGTTACTTGGTGCAAGGCCATGGATGAAGTGTCTTTTGTTTTAATTTGTTGACTAATAATGTGAGATCCCACATCCGTTAGAGTTGGGAACGAAACATTCCTTGTAAGGGTGTGGAACCCTCTTTCTAACACACGCGTTTTAAATCCTTGAGGAGAAGCTCAAAAGGGAAAATCCAAAGAGGACAATATTTGCTAGCGGTGAGCTTGGGCTGTTACAAATGGTATTAGAGCTAGACACCGGGAGGTGTGCCAGCGAGGATGTTGGGCCCCAAAGGAGGTGGATTTTGAGATCCCACATCCGTGGGAGAGGGGTACGAAGCATTCCTTATAAGGGTGTGGAAACCTCTCCCTAACAGACGCTTTTTATAACCGGAAGCCCAAAATGGAAAGTTCAAAGAGGACAATATCTGCTAGCGGTGGGGTTGGGCTACTATAAATAAACCGTTGCATTATCTTCTTGACATTGTTGATTTTTAGTAACCAAAATGATTGTCTTGCTTTTATTACATGAAGTTCAATGCTTTCTTAAATGGGGTTTCTTTTGTCTTACGCTTCAACTGCTTCTGTATTTGTATTTCTCATTTGCTTGTAGACTATATATTTGTTTTGATGTTTTTTTTCTTTCTTAAAATCGTTTATTGTTTAGTTCACCAAAATGTCAAGAAATTCATTGGAAAGCTGGCCACAAGACGAAGTGCAAGGATTTTCAAGCGCGTAGGAATTCCGACAGGGGTTCCAAAGCTTCTAATGTTGGGAGCAAAAGTTTTTCTTCAATTTCGCTGATACCGTCTCATAAGGCCTCTAAGCCTATCAAGCAACCAAAAGATGTATGTTATCTTCCTTTTTATCCCTAGAATTGAGCAATATTGTTATTGATATCATACCTTCTAATAAAGTTCATCTTTATGTTTGGATGACTTAGATTCTTTTTCCCTATGATGAATTTCTGGACCTTTTTTTCTGGGATAAGCGTCAGTTTCATCCTTGTGGACTCTTAAATTGTGGCAATAGGTTAGTATTCACTTATTTCTAACAATTCTACCCTTCATGAATTACTTTCAAAATTCAGTCATTTGGAATTTGATTTTACCTTATCGTCTTGATTCCTATTTCTTGCAGTTGCTATGCAAATGTGGTTCTTCAGTGTCTGTCCTATACAAGACCACTTTTTGCCTTCCTTATGGAAAGAGGGCACAGAAATGAATGTAAATACCGTCGAACTTTTTTCTTCCCCTCCCCCCTACTTGGGCCTTAGTACTCATGTGTCCATAATTTCGCATCCTCTTTTAATCAGGTGTTCGTGATGATTGGTGTTTCTTTTGTGAGTTTCAAACACATGTTGAAAGAGCTAATCGAAGTGCCCAACCCTTTTCACCTAATAATATTATCCTTCGGTTGCCTAATATTGGTGGAAATCTTGGTTATGGAAGGCAGGAAGATGCCCATGAGTTCATGAGGTATTTGTCTTGCTTTTCTTTTTGTAATTTGATATTTCTTGCTGAATGTGTAGAGACAACATTAACTCTTTCTTTCTTTGACTAGTTAATTATTCAATTATCTAATGGCCGATTTCTGTTTTACAGATTTGCTATTGATAGAATGCAACTTGCGTGCCTTGATGAATTTGGTGGAGAGAAAGCTGTTCGTACACCTTCCCGAGAGACGACCATTATACAACACATTTTTGGTGGTCAACTTCAGTCCCAAGTAAAGCATTTAAGCTGGCCTTCCATACTATCTGCCATGTTGTGTTTTGTGCTACTGACTGATGAGGGTTTGGATCTTGATACTTCAGGTGATATGTACAAATTGCGAGATTGTCTCCAACCAGCTTGAAAATATGATGGATTTGACTGTTGAAATTCATGGGGATGCTGCATCATTGGAGGAGTGCCTCGATCAATTCACGAAAGTCGAGTGGCTGCATGGTGATAATATGTACAAATGTGATGGGTACGTAGCCAACTGGATTCTGGGTTCTTTTTTTTTTCTTTCTTTTTAGTAGGTTCACTATGCCTCCAAATTCATTTCGAACCCTTTAGAATTAAAACGACCATCATTTGGAAGGTGGCTCTGTAACCTTGATTGTTCCTTTCTGTTATCCAGAAGGTATTTGATTAGTTGTGTAGGGTCACTTCCTGCTTACCTGATGAAACTATTTCCCCCAATGTGAAATCCGCTTCTTTGATAGTTTTTGTTGACTGATTAGTAATTGCTTTTTCCGGGTTTTCGACGCGATGTTTGCATTTTGAGTTAGATTTTAATCTAATATACTCATCTAGTTTGTGAGTGTGGAGGACACATGGCATATATATTTCGTAGTTTTTTTTTATAATGAACAATATTTTAGGTGACGGAGGAGGACGTAGACTGAATTTTGTCCTCGAATAATTTATTTCGTCATTACTTTTTAAGTCATTCTATACTCTTTTATATGATATGTACATTTTTGTGATTGTAGGTGCAATGACTATGTCAAGGCATCAAAACGTCTTACGATTAAACAGGCTCCTAACATTCTTACAATTGCCTTGAAGAGATTTCAGGTTGGATCCCTTCTTTCATGTCTGCTTTGGTTATTATGCCAATATACCTTTATATTACTGCCCATGATTCGAGTATTTTACGTTAATTGTTGCGTGGTCACCATGGTCACCTGAATGGGAGAACCTTGGGGTAATGGATTAAGTCAATGGACATCATGGGATTTTTAGACCCAAAGAAAGAACTTAATCGATGAACCAAAAAAAAAAAAAAAAAAGAGGCTTCTCAGCTAGTCAATAGCGAAAGAACAGGTTATTCGAACTACTCTCTGGTGTGGAAATAGAGCAACACACATCTCTACTGGTCGTTCATCTTTAGAATAGTTGAAGTTGTGCTTGGGAACACCGTTAATTTTGAACAATGAACAAAGATAGTTTTGTGTTTGTTTTTTTTTCCTTCTCCTAAGTTTCTGTTAGAAAATTTTTGCAGAGTGGAAGGTTTGGGAAGCTCAACAAGAAAGTAACATTTCCAGAGACTTTAGACCTTAGTCCTTACATGAGCGAAGCAGGAGATCGTACGGATGTGTACAGGCTTTATGCTGTAGTCGTTCACATTGATATGCTGAATGCTTCATATTTTGGACACTATATCTGCTACATTAAGGACTTCTCTGGAAATTGGTACAGGATTGATGATCGTAAGGTCGGTCCCTTTCTCTCCTCCCACTCACACAGATTGACACAGACACAACAAATGCTTGTGTGCACTGCAAAAATATCCATATACCTGAATAATTATCTTAACTCGCACGCCTATTATGGTGGTTCATATCCCTTGTTATTACCAGAATTATATTTGATGTAGATGCGCGAATATGAGCTAAATTTACGAGGCGATAATTGAAAATTGTAATTCTCATTATTTACAATTCTCATATTTTTCGATCTTGCTACTGGATAATGTTGGCATTGATTTGTGAGGTCCGTATAGGTAAAGTTTTTTTTTTTTTCTTTTTTTTCTTTTTTGTATGATTGATGTTAAAGCTGAAGCTTATTCTGGGGTAATGCACGAGCTCCGCTAGCAGTTCTTTTGTATCGGTTAACATCTCATTGGAATATATTATTTATTCTCCAAGACTAACGTATTTTCACTTTCTTGGCTGTCACATTCCTTCAGGTTTCTAAAGTTGATTTAGAAGAGGTGCTATCTCAAGGAGCGTACATGATTTTGTTCTCCAGGTATTTTTCCCGCTTCAGGAGTAGATCTTTATTAGTTCTTGTTCGTTGTATTCTTGACGGAGTAGACATGTCTAATGAATCCATTTGCTGATTCTTTGCAGGGTTCGCCCGCGATCTTCAAGTCTTCAAACTATTGAATCTATGAGGAACAATCAGCTACAAAAAGAGAATGGAGAAGCGGATCTTTGCGCAAATGAACGAGTTGGAAGTGCTAAACTAAGTCTTGTGGATCACGTTTGTTCGTCCAACTCCGAGTCGAGTGATGGCTGCATGCATTCTGATAATTTTACTGGGTCCCCTGACATTCAACCACAACCCCTGAGACTGTGTTCTAAAGATGATATGGATGGAGATGTACTTGAATCGTCTACTTCAAGCGGGGTTTCTGCGTGTACTCGCAAAGCAGATTTTGGGGTATCTTCTGAAGCGGTAATGGATGATGTTCGGGATATAGATCTGCTTGATTTTGGAACTAGTTCATCTGTTCCAAGGGATATTCCTTCTTTTGGAAAGGATTCTCTTTTGTTGTTGAACTACGAACCTTCGATAACAAATCCACTGGATACAAGAACAGCAAGTGGAAATGATCATTGTCATTCAGCCATTTCTATGGAGGTTTCTTACGGCGAGGATGTTTTGGTGAACAATCTCAGAACTGCGAAAGACGATTCAGAGGATACAAATATGGTTAGTTGCGATACGAGTTCTCTCCTCTAGCACAAGATGTCAATGTTCTTGTCAATGGACACATACATGGAGATGAAACCGTTCCTCTCGCTACAAATAATCAAAATAATTACTCATTCAACGAGACGTCTGCTGCTGAATCCCACAAGATGAATCCGGGATTGCCCTGTCTGGGCTATTAGTTTGAAGATGCAAGCGGAACAAATCAAGTGGAGTCGATGGGTGATGTTTAGGCCACTCGATCGATCATTCATAGATCAATCAGTCATCCTTAAAACGAGGTTTGAGCTGATATATATTTTTTTCTTCTTCTGAGGTTTCACTATTAGCAGAGATCTCGGCGTCGATTACAAATTGTGAAAGTCCGTAAACATATCAAAGTATTGGTTCTCACTGTGCTTTTATGCAATAGGGATTAGGCTCCTACAGAGAATATCTGGATACCTTGTTTTAGAGTTCATTAGAGATTAGGTTCTTAGTTTCTTCTAACAGAAATTAAAACTCATTTCTAAATGTTGACCTTGTGTGTTCCTGATGCACATTCATTATAAATTCTAATGAGAATGAGCTACACTTTTTTCTCGTAACATTAGTCCGAACTAGTAAAGGAACGTATCTACTTTCTCTCTATTTATTTAATATAACTCGTTTCTGACCTATGTGGTTGAAATTGGATTGGACCTAATATCCACTTTCCCTCATGGAGTGAAATGGGATGTGAAAGACGAGATCTTACGGCTATTAGAGGTATATTAAGGTTCGGTATAAGCTAAAAAATCACACACCTAACATCCGTCAAAGCTAAAAAATCCTCCTGCCCTAATTACTAGATCAATCATGTCTCCAATTAGAGGTATATTAAGGTTTGGTATTTGACTTCGGAGACTACTTGATCTATTGTTTGTATTGGGTACTTTTTCTTTTAGACGGACCAAATTGATTCACACCCGACATTGGACTCGCACCCTAGAGGAAGCTAGCATAAATAGTAGGGTTAAAAACATTCCAAAGAAGACATTTTTGAGCATAGAATACGCTAAGGGAAAGCAAAAAGAGGGGTTGGGCAAAGGCAAAACGGCGGAAGGCGCACAAGGTGGGTTGACAAAGAAGGGGACTGTAAAAGGCATACATAGGCGTGTAGTAGTAGAGCTTGAGAGTAGTAAGCAGTAGGGAGCATCGAGATCTCTGCCTTTGTTTTTGTTTTCATACCAATTTGCCAATGCCATCAAATTTGGCCATTACTCCCAACAAAAAAGCCAAAAGAAACGCAATTTACGGCTTTTTTTTCCCTTTTGCCCCCCTCCCCCCTCTTTTGTTTCTATTCCATTTACTTAACTTCAATTCTAATTCTCTTTAAAATAATAATAATACTAGTTTAGTTATAGAATTTTTAGTTTTTAAAATTTTCAAATTTGTCGGACAAAAAAAATTAAAAATTTACAAGTCTATTTCTTCACAATAGTACAATATTATCCACTTTGACCATAACTCTCGTTAATGATCTCACACCATTAAAAATGTATTCCTTACGAACATATAATCCGCTCCTTAATTAGTCTACGAGTGGGTGATAGAAGTAAGTTTAGAATTAGTTAAAAAATGTGTTAGTGATAGGGGTAGTAGGCTAGCTCTAGCTATTGCTCGTGACCTTAAAGATTCTGGGTGTTTTGACTTTGAAGCCACAAGACAAAAAGAGAGAGAAAAACGGCATTTTGAGAGAGAGATTCCCTCTACGAGGAGAAGTGTGTCGTCAAAGCAAAGCCCCAATAAGTCTTCTATTTTTTATTTTTATTTATTTTTTGGGTGTGAAAATGTCAGCTATCAAACATATCCAATACAAAACCCCCCAACAATTTGTAATATAATCCAATAAAATATATATATAAAAGAAAAAAAACACACCACTTTCTCTTACTTTTAGGCAGAGAGAGATGGCAGAGTCACATGTGGGAAGGCATGGATTTTGTTTCATTCAAATATGTGTATTTTATTTTATTTATTTATTCAAATTTAAACTATGAATTTGTGAGCTAACTTCAGACACTTATTATCGAGCCTTGAGACTGATTTTTTTTTTTTTTTTTTTTAATGATAATTTTACTAAATTAATATTTTTATTTAACTAAATTCTAAAAATAAAAATTATTTTTAGGGGTGGACATGTGGAAAAATCGGACTAATTGGGTGTCTCATTCAAGTGACGAAGGTTCAAGATTGCGATGAGCTGAAGCTACCTCTGTCGACTTGCTAGTCGATGCCACTCGATTTTGAGCCTCCTATTTTAACAAATATTAGAACTATGATTCATACTATCATGCTTTCCAATTCGGAAAAATGCAACCGGATTAATAGAGAACATGTTTTTTCTTCTAACTTTCTCTTGCGTTTGCAGAGTGAAAATCTGGCTTTACCCATTTGATCTCAAATTACCCGCCCTACACTTTGGCTACTAAATGTTCTTTTACAAGTTTGTTGCGCCTCTTCTAAGGCTTGTTACTACCAAAACAAGTAGTCAATTATTAGTTAATAAATGTCAACACGAGCATCGTGGACCATCTTAACATCCATTCTTTCTTTCAAGATATGAAGTTCGAATCTCGGGTGTCCCGAGTAAATAAGCTAATAATTAAAAAAAAAGAAAAAAAGAAAAAAGGAAAAACAAAAACCCACCAAACGAATCCAAAGCGAAGAACACTCGTGAACAAGAGTCAACTCGTGTTTTCTCCTCCTCTTTACTTTCTTTTTTGTATTTATAATTAAGAATCGTATTCTTTTGACATTTTTTCCCCTTTATTTATTTATTTATCCGCTCGTGTATTCTCCTCCTCCGTCTCTCCTCCTCCGCCTCCGCCACCGCTCTGTAACAAAGTGTCAACGCCTATAAAAGTCACTGACCCCGAAGCTTCCCTCTCTTCTTCCTCCATAGCTCCCTTTCTCTTTTTCCCCTTCCTTTTCTTCTTTTCTCTCTTTCCCTTTCCCTTTCCCCATTTATAAGGCATCTTGACACCCCACTTATCCAGTTGCTCTCGACTACTGCCCCATCGTTTCCACCTTCGTCGCCGCTGAATCATCCATCCAGGTGCATTATCTGATTCCTGTTGTTTTTATTTGATTTTTGTGTTCGGTTTTGTTGATTTCCTGTGATTCTCTTTGGATGTGCTTTGTTTTCACGCTGAGTTTGGACTTTTGTTCAATCGTGGGGTTTGAGGGTTCCAGATCATGGCGGAGGTATCTGCATTTTGTTAGTGGAACTTTTGCCTTCGTTTCTGATTTATGGAATCCTTGGCCTTCGTGTTTTGTGTTAATCGATTTCTCTCGAGATTGTCTCGATCTATTTATCAGGGTTTTGCGGTGGTTTTTCAAAAATAAATTGAAATTTCTCTTTATGTTGGTTCGATCCACTGAGCTTTTCTTCTTCTTACGGTATTGATTTGAGATCCTTATTCGTGCTTCATTGTCTGGTTACTATTTCTAGGTTATTGGGATCGATTCAAATTAGCTTGTGATTGAAACTAACAGGCTTATGTTTGTTTGATATTGCAGTGATTTCTCAGATATTTCTGGCAATGGAACTTGGTGATGTTCATGGTGGTTTGGGGGTGACTCGGAAGAGAAAGAGAAACGATGGAGAAAACAACATGTTGAGTAACTTCTCTTTGGATAATCTCAATCAAGACATTCTGGAAAGGGTGCTTTCGAGGCTACCGACATCGGCGTTCTTTCGTCTTTCTTCAGTGTGCAAAAGATGGAAATCAGTTGCAGCTTCTTCAAGTTTCAAGTCTGCCTGCTCGGACATTTCGGCACGCAACCCCTGGTTTTTCATGGTCGATCCACATCTCAACCGCTCGATTGTTTTCGACTCGACTGAGAAAAATTGGAAGAAGCTTAACTACCCACACCTCCTTCAGAACCATCATCTCGATTCGATCCCCGTTGCTGCCTCTGGTGGTTTGATTTGTTTTCGCAATTCGGCGGGAAACTTCATAGTGACCAATCCTTTAACAGGCTCCTGTAGTGAGCTTCCTCCTGTGGATCTTGACCAGAAAAAACAATCTCTTCATGCCATTGTGATGAATGCAGACCCCGGCGGTTGTAAGGGCTCTTACAAGATTGTATTAGTCTATGGCCAGCTTCCAAAGCTTCGGTTCAAAGTCTACCATTCGACCACGGGTTGCTGGGACGACGATGTTACCTTGAGTAGAAAAGTAGACGATTCTATCGACTTCAACTTCAATGATGATACCGGTGTGTACTTCCTGAGTCGAACAGGAAATGTAGTGTCCACAAACATGCAGAGAAGCCCATCCAAGCAATACTCATCCGTGGTTACGAACAAAAGAGGGGAGGACACCGTCTATTTTATTAGCTCCTCCGGGACTATCATGGCTTGTAATCTGAGCAAGAGATGCTTCATTGAGTACCCCAGGCTCATGCCTGTCTTTTCAGAGTACTCAATCGATGTCGTTGCGTGCCAAGGTGAGATGCTAGTTGTTATGTTGTCTGAGTTTCTCGAAACTGCAAGCCTTAGAGTTTGGAGACACGACGAGGAATCTCGAACTTGGCATCAAATTGCAGCATTGCCTCCTGCAATGTCGCACGAGTGGTACGGCAAGAAGATTGATATCAACTGTGTAGGAGCTGGCGACCAGATACTCGTATGCATGAATTCGAACGAGCATTGTACGTATCTTCTATGCAATCTCGTCGAGAATCAGTGGACCGAATTGCAGAAATGCTATATGAACGGTGAAGCTGTGGAGTTTATGTCTGCCTTGTCGTTCGAGCCGAGGATCGAGGCTTGTGTATAAACGAATTGGTTATTGATTTATTTTTATAAACGAATTGTTCTATATAGCTGTTTTGTTCTTTGTGTAAGGCTTTCCTATTTGTTTTTGAATTCTTTGTATTCTTAGCTGACTTAGCTAATGGAATTCAAGAAGATGAGAATAGATGTATGTAGATTCCTTCTTAATAACCTTCTGCCAATTTTACTGTTCAGCCTGTGACTTTCTTTTGATTTTCAGTAGATGAAGGCTGTTTTTACAGAGAAGGTAAATGCTTTACCTTTTGCTGTAAAAATGGACTGTTCAGTTGAGAATTTACCTCAACTCTGCTCTGAATCTGCTTCTGAGTTCCTCAGTTGTTCAAATTTCATCCAATGGGTGAATTGCAGCATAAGGTTGTCCCTTTACTCTGAAAAGTCTGCAGAGTGAATAGGCAAATTTTATTATTTTTATTATTATATATATATATATATATCAGAAATTAATATTACATATACTGTTTTTTTCCTTTTTTTTATTATTTTTTATTATCGGCGTGCTAATATATTAATATGTAATTTTGATTTTTAGTATAATATGTAATTTTAGGTAAATGTTTTATTTTATATTATTTCAAAACTAAAAATACAAAAAATCAAAACTTCGTTTGGGGGCAAATAAAATTGGTTAGTTCATTCAGGCAAATTTCTTTCCCGCTTAAAATTATCCAACAAAATGAACAGACGCAAATATACTCTCTAAGAGAGGAATATTGATGATCGTTTTCCCTTTTTCACTGGATTTTCAGAGCGAACTTCTATATATTAGTCTCGAAAACTTCATCTGCTTCGATGAAGATGATGGTCTCGAATGGATATGCCGGCAGAGGAAGCAGTAGTTGTGGATACGATGGTAGAAATTCGATTAGAAACAAGATTCACAAGCGATTGGAACCTTGTTTGGTGATACCGCCGCCGCGAGGTAAGCTGCTTGGCGCTATCATTAAGTTCCTCGATGGCGCTATCATCGGAGCTATTCCTGAAGTCACTTGCAGGTTTTTTTCCCTTCCGTTTCTTCGCTATCATTTGTATTTCGATGTAGCTACTTTATTTGAGCTTTTGGCAAAGGAAGGGTTTCTGATAATTTCAGTACCTTACAAATTGAGTTTCGATCATGCCATTGCTGCGAGACAAGTATTCGAGAGGTTTCATGGCCGTTTGGATGCCATTTTAGCGTCCGGATTGCTCCATGAAGATGTTTCACATGCTCAACTTGTTAACCTTTCTCTACCGTGGATCATAGGTGAGTCAACTCGTGATTGTTGTCTTCATTTCCATAGGATGAAATGCTGAGGTAATTTCATTTTGTTGTTTATTGGTAGCAATGGCGCGCTTCCGCAAGTACTCACAGGGAGCTATTTCGCCGCGAAGATACCTAAGGTTTGGCTTCTTACTTTTCTTTTGATTGTTCGTCTTTTAATTTACTTGTGGAAATGAATTGGACGCAACTGACTAGCTAATCACCGAGATGATAATTTTCTTATCAATTTCAATGGTTGTGTGACATAATAAATATTCTCGTTGTGGAAGGACAATGCTATGATCTCCTTCAACAACAGGCCAGCAACAGAGGCTGTTCCTTACTTTGAGCGGGTAAGGCTGGCATTGATCACTGTTCATGTTTTGATGGATTTCATGGTTAGTTTGCTTGGGCTTGTGCATGCTCAAAAGTATCAACTCCTTTTTTCACTTCTAAGAACGATCCCTTATGGAAAAGAGGTTAGGGAGGGGAGGAGAAATCTCTCAAAAAGAAGAAATTGGGTATTATATAGTTTACAAAATCAAATTATGTAGGACTAAATTTAGAATCAAATCGGATTCAAATAACTAAATCAAATCTAATCCTAACCATTCCTCCTTTAAACTAATCTTAAACTAAGGTAGAGTAATCCATTCATATCTACTACCTCACTACCTCGTAACAAACTTATAGGTAACTATCAATTTACATGTGCCATTTCTGTTTATTCCTACCATCCATGACTTGCCTCCATTTCTCACTCTTGAATGCTTCTTTAAATCAATGTGTCTTTAAAGTTTACAAAGTTTACAGGTTTAGAAGTGGTAAACATGGCCGAGTGAGCTTCATCATCTTCTTTACAAAAAAACTTCTCCTACATAGTCTCTCATCTAGACTGCATCATCATCTTCTTCACAAAAATCTTCTCCTATTGCATAGTCTCTCTGAGTCGGTAAGCTTTGACTCTTCACTAACTCTTGGCAAAACATAACTCAAACTCTTATCATCTAGCTTAGTTCTTCGAGCTGCTTCCTCTTTTTGTCTCTGAATCAACTCGAGCTCACGATATTGTTCTTCTTCCCTCCGCTGCAGCTCCAGAGCTAATCGTTGCTTAGTTTTTTCTACCCTTCTCCTATTCTCTTCCCGCATTTTATATAGCTCTTCTCTCTCTTTCCGTGCTTGTTCTTCTTTTTGTCTTGTAGCAGTAAGTAAGAGCGGCTTCTTTTCCTTTCTCAAACTGCACATCAACATCATCAAACAACTTCTTGCGACCTCCCTCTATTCGTCTCTGTATTTCTAATTTAATCTCTTCAGAGTTTAGCCTTTCTTCAACATTCTTCTGAATTAATTCTTCCATCCTCTTAGCTGCATCTTCTTCTAACTTCTTTTCGCCGTCACAGGTGACCTTCTTCTCTTTTATCTCCTCTGCTTTTGCTACCTCTGTCGGCACATTCTGGACCTCCAAGTCTTGATCTTCTATTTTCAAACATTTGTCAACCAATGGCTTCATCTTCTCATTAACTGATAACGTGCAATTCGCCATCACTTGTGTATTCATTATCATGCCTTTTTGTTGATGATAGATTCTGCAGGTTCCTTCTTTGATTAAGATTACCAAGCACTTCTCCTGTAGCTGCCCTATGCTTACCAAATTGTTGGTGAGAATAGGGACATAGTAGACATTTGCCACGGTTTGTGTGATACCTTCAACTTCGAATCTGACATTGCCTCTTCCTTCAACTACCAATTTTGACCTATTTCCCAAGACAGTGTGTTTGAAACATTCGTCAAGCTCAAAGAACCATGTTTTGTCCCCTGTCATATGATTTGAGCATTCGGAATCGAGAAATCAAATGCCTTCTCTTTCAACTTTACTTTTCTTTGTGTATGCCATCAATAGCAGTTCTTCCTCGTCAAATTGAGCATAAATGACGGCTCCTTTTTCTAAGCCCGGACATTCAAATTGGTAATGTCCTTGCTTTCCACATCGAAAATAGTTGATGGCCGACCGGTTCACAAAAGATCTACCTCTTCCCCGTTCTCTAAAGTAACCTCTTCCTCTTTGAAATGTTTCTCTGTCTCTTTCTTGTCCATACCTTGTACATTTTCCACATGCAGAAACTGCTCTTCACTCTTCTTATCAATCACTTTTGTTGATGTACAATCTAAGATGTCTGTAATTCATCGACGGTTAATTGGTCAATGTCCTTGGATTCTTTGAATTATTGGCGAGACTTCGAAGTATTTTCTCACCAATTTTGACATCCGGCATATCTTCTCCGCAATTCCTCATGTCATTAGCAGTAGACATCACTCTTGAAAAATACTCAGAAACACCTCCTGCTTTCATCTCTAAAGTTTCGAATGTTCTGCGAAGTCGTTGTAGCTGGGCTCGCTTCACTCTAGCATCTCCTTGATACTTGAGTTTCATTGAATCCCACAATTGCTTGGAAGTATCCTCATTATACTCTTATCAATGGATTGAAAGAGAAAATTCTTTGCTCTGAGATCTTTAAGCCTTGCTTCATAGATTTCCTTTTGCGATTTCCTTTTGCTAGGCTACGATTAGTGCTTCGTTTCCTTTTGGTTCCTCGAAACCAAATTGAATAGCACTCCAATATTCCTTGGAGTGCAAGAGATTTTCCATGACCAAACTTCAATGCTCGTAGTCTCCATCGAATTTAGAAACACATGGTGTAGCAAAGCTTCCTGAATCACTTCCCATTTGTTCCGTGTTTTTCCTCTTAAACACTCAAAATTTGTGTATTTCTTCTTTCTTTCGGTCCAATTAGGTTCTTACAAATGTTAGGAATGAAGGGAGAAATCTCTAAGAATGAAATTGGCTATTAGAATCAAATCAATAGGACTAATGGTATGACTAAATCAAATCTAATCTTACCAAAAGATGTCAATTCTAATATCTGAGATAATATGCATTTTACCTCTGGAGATGTTTGTTTGGATTGTACAAAAGGTGAGAACGTGGTGATTTTCATGATCTTTCTGAATGAACAGGTTTTGGAAATTGAAGTGAAGCATGATCTTGAATTTTCAGTCTGAGGGAAGGTGTTTAATCTACAGGGGCGCTCGTCCTGAGTGGATCATTTATTTTTTTGGATTCCATGAACCAAAGATAGAACGTAGCGATCATTCACTTCTAGATTTTGAATGATAGTAGTATAATAACCACTAATTGGAGCTAACTCACTTTGTTCTTGATTTCTTTCATGTATTGGGCATGGCATTGAGAATAGATAGACATCAAAGAAGACTGCATAACACGAGCTACTGTATTCCATTTGAGAATATTGATTGAAATGCTGCTCTAATCATTTGAGAATAGTGTTTGATGCCGATTCACATTCATCCTTGTCATTTTCATTCGATTCAAATACTACTTGCTACTTGTGCTATAATTTCTTTTTTTTTTCTTGAATCATGCAAAAAATCGTATCCTTGATCTTTGATGCGTTCATGACGAAACTTTCATTTATTATCCTTGTTTGTATGCAGGGATGTGTGGAAGATCTTGCTTGATGCCGCTGGAGCTATTGTTCCAGACAGAGATCAATCGAGTAAGTCTTGAATTCTCTGACTAAAATTTGTTGATCAGCTGCCCTCAGTTTTAAACTAGGTAACCCTTTAAAATTTCACGTCTGCTTCTTTACTTTGTCTCTTACCAGTCACTGTTTTCATATTGTCCACTTTGAGCATAAACGAGGTTAGCTTTGCTTTGAGCTTTCTCAAAATCTTTTAACAATAGAGATAATATTCTCCTTCTAAACTCACTACCATTCTCTAAATTAGCTAATTCCCCACTTACTCCCAATAATCCTCAACAAAAATAAAATTAATTTTCAAACTTGTTTTTTTGTTTCTAGGAATTGCCTTAGAATTCCTTAGAACATGGGTACTGGGTTGACTGGAGAAGAAGCCTGCTCTTTTTTTTTTTTTAATGTGATTGGGGTGGGTCGGTTGACTTAGTCATTTGCCCATTGAATTAGTACCCAATCTAAACAGGCTCCTGTCTAAAAATACAACCCATCTAGAAATGCTATCTAGCCCCATCCAACCTTTATAATTCAAGTTGGTTTCAGATTCTTGATTGAATACACACCTCTACGTGAAGATTTTAAAAATCAAGTGTATGAATGAACCTTTTTAAAGTTCTAGAATATTAATGAAATAAGTGCAAAAGTGTTAAAAGTATTTTCTACCATCTAGCCTTTTTTTTAATTTTTGAGTTAAGAATTAAGTTTTTAAAATCTATGAAAACAAAAATTTTGTAAATAAAAAATAAGTGTTTTTAAAATATATTTTTGTTGAAATTTGGTTAAGAATATATTGTAATGAAATTGTCAAAATTTTAAAACTTTTTTAGAGAGACTAAAAAAAGAAAAAAGAAATAGAAACAATTTGGGAGAGGGGAAGGCGGGGAAGAATATGGGAGGATCGCGGGTGAGATCAGAATCAGATGATCCAATCATTTGGTTCTTTTTCTTTTTCTCTCTTGTTAATTATCGTTTGATCGTTCTGCTATCTGCTGTCTTGGCGATTTCTTCAGCCATTACACCTGTTCCTGTGGCTGTGCGGCGCGGCTCCCATGGATTATTGGAAAACGTGGTTCCTCTTCTTCTCTGTCTCTGCCTTAACAAAATCGGAAGAGCCTTGTGAGTCTATGACCTCGGCCATTGCGTCATGAAACACCACATACAAATGCAACAAGGCACGTTTCCTTTTCCTTGCATCATTTCAATCTCTCTCTCTCTCTCTCTCTTTCTTTTTTTCCCCTTTTTGTCGGCTCTTCTGATACATGTAGGAGTAAGATTTGTTCTGCCGTTCTTTTTTTTTTTTTTTTTCTTTTGCCCTAAATTTTGTTTTCTTATGATTTGCATCATCGTTTTTAGTTCAATTTTATATGAATATCCTTTGTTCCAAATTTAGGATGGTTTCTGCTACTGTTGGAGTCGGTTCTGGGCTTTATTTTTTAGGCTGAAACTCTATTTTAGTGTTCATTTTAGTCATTGTAATGTAAAATTTTGCAAAGTTTAACCCAAATTCAATGCCCAATGAAAACAATAAGATAAATGGACCAAACTAGTCCCTTAAAAGTACAAAACCGAAGCTGAAACTATGATAAAAACATAGAGTATTTGAACTTTGGATAGAATTTTGGAATTTGGTGTGCCTCCTACTTCCTCGACATTGCAGGAAACTGGATAAAAGTCTGTCTCGGATTTCAGATCTAAAAACTTAATTGTCTTAACCTTTTGAACTCACGAAATTTGGGTTATTTCAAACCTGTATGAAACTTCAATTGCCTTTTCCAATCTGGCATGGACTTTTTAGATCTTCGAATTTAGTGAACTCTTTTCTTTAGGCAACCATTTTAACATCGAGAAATTTTCTTTTCATGTAAACTTGGTTTAACTTAGCAAGTTATTGATAGTTGATAAACCGCAAGAACCTACTTGCTATGTGGCTACTACTGTCTGGAAGAATAATATTTCCCTACTCACCCGACGTCAGAATCTTCTTACTGTTCACCCTGAATTTTTTACAGATGGGTGTGAGAGAAATTTTCTTTTGTATGAATTTAGTGGTGGTTCACAGAAACTAATTAGCCACTTATTAAGTATTTCCCAAGCCTGAAAGTTCCCCTCATGAGTGGTGATGGATAGGATTGTAAAAGGGAAAATGCAATGACACGTGTAGCCGGTGCTGCTTCGTAGACTTGTTCGAAAACGAGTCTCGGCATTGCGCAATCAGTGCTGAATATAAAGCCCACAATCCTTCCAACCGATCATCAATCCTCGTCTCTGCACTTCTTTTCCACCATAGAAAAAGCAAATTGATGAACATTAAAGAGTAAGCTCAAGATTTGGCATTATTTCTCTATGATAATTTCTTCCCTGGACTGCTAAAACAGTTGAACAAATCTTCTAAAAACCTCACACTGACCCAATGAACTCTTCGGACAAACTCTTCAACTTTGAAGCTTCACAAATCCTTGTGGGTACTTTTCAGGCTTTTCCTTTAGGTTTTAAAACGCGTTTGTTAGGGAGAGGTTTTGACATCCTTACTCTTAGAAGGAATGCTCTGTTCCCAGCCTCTTGGCTCAAATACTATTTGTAACTTCTTAAGCCAACCGCGTGTAGATATTGTCCATTTTAGTCCGTTACATATAACCGTAAGCCTCAGGGTTTAAAATCCATCTACTGTGAAGAAGTTTCTACACCTTTTTTAGAATGCTTCGTTTCTTTCTCCAATCAATATGTGGGGTCTTATACTTATGCCCAATTTGAACCCGAAGGATAAAGGAAATCCAGGAGAAATACCAGGATATACCAAGGTGGCTCCTGTGATTGCTCATTTTGTTTGGAAAATGGTTCTACCTTTATTTCATCTCCACCTGTTGCACAGAATCTCAATACAGAAAACCCTATGCAAAATTTAGGTCCGAATCTCAATTTTGATAATAATTTCAAAAACTGTGGATACTCGTTCAGCTGTCTGTGACAACAGTTATTCATTTTATTCACTTTCATTCTGGTCCCCATCTTCATATATCTGTCCCTCTGTTTCTTTTGTTGCTACTTATCAGGAAGTTCCCAAATCAATTTCATTATCCAAGGAAGAAGGGATCCTAATGGCTTCTGATGTGTTTTGGTCCAATAATGACCCAACTGGAGAGAGCGAAAAAGGCATGCAGCAGCATTCGAATTATCAGTGTGCAGAGGAGGATTACCTACAAGATCCTGATCTATCCTGGTATGATTTTAACTTTTCTTAATATTAAATGAAATTCGAACACAGAAGAAATATATATATATATATATATATATATATATATATATATATATATATAT